AAAAAAAATAAGGAAAAAAAAGAGCCGAGACTCCAGAGGACCAGGGAGAGAGAGAGAGGCAGAAAGAGAGGTGTAGGCGCTTCCGAGCTCTCCTCCCGAAAACACAGCGACAGCGTGGGGTTTGCCTCCTGACTGCCTGCTTTTCTCCCACCTCTCCTCCTCCTCCTTCTCCTCCTCCTCCCACTCTTCCCTACTCCTCCCATTCTGCTCCCTCTCTCCCAGCCCCTCTGTTGTGTCAGACTCGTCCTCATTGCTGCAACAAAGTAGCCGCTGCTGCTGTGTGACCCCAAATAACCAAAACACATCAGTTCAACGGATGGGGACCATGTGTTTTTTAATTTTATTTTTTGGACCCAAATAAACTAGGAAAATTTTCTATCTTCTATTTTTTTTCTATTTGTGCTTTTTTAATTTCTTAATTGGCTAAAATAACATTTTATACTGCATGATGGTTATGAATTTATCACACCTTCTGCATAAAAGTTCAGCTTATGAATTTTCAATTAGCATTTAGCATGATGAAGACACTAACAATGCAAAAGTGTCATAAATGTAGATATTGTTATTGTAGTAAGCTATTACACAATGTAATTTTATCTGAAAAAATATAGTGACAGGCATTTTTACAACACTGTATTTTTTTAAGGAAAGATACACAATAAAACTGAATTTCATTTAAAAAATAAACGATGTAAATAATATATTAAAGCAAACAATACCACTAAACAACTTAAACTGGCTGATGGGGTAAATATGCCCTATACACATGAATATTTACATTTACATTTATCATTCATGAAAGATATATTTTCACTGAAAACTTTCTATAAAGGAAATTAAGTTAACTAAGAATAATAAATTAACTTACAATAATAAAAAACAATAATAATAAAGTGAATATTGTTTTTATTTTAACAATATATAAAATTTTTATTAGAAATATTTACATTCTCTCTATAATATGTTATATTTTAATACAAAGTTATGTAGAATTTAAATAATATCCATTCACGCATCATAATTAAAGAAATAATACTTAAATTATAAAAATAAATTGTAAAATTTTAAACACCATGTTAGCCATTAATCTGCATGCAAGTTAGCAATCCATAACCTACTTAGGAAAAAATAAAACTTAAAAAGATAGTGTTACTAATACAACTTATTACAATTAGCTTTGCAAAGATGTAAAATTCAGTAAAAAAAAAAAAAAAAGAAAAAAGTATCTATGTAATAGTTTTAGGTAAATAAGCCAAAAATGTCAATTAAAATAGATACACGGGACAGAGTGCACTGTAAAAAAATATTTTAATAAAACAAAAGATTTCAGAAAGGCACTTTTTTTGTCCACAAGAAACAGGGCAGGCACTCTAGCACCTCCTAGTGTTTTATTTGTGCATGTTACAGGGGAAGACAATATAATGAAGGGACATAAAAAGTCCACTAACTTAATCACTTGGCTAATTAAAAGTAAAATGCTTCAGAAATTGATTTAATAACTGGTCATGCTTAATACTACATTGATGGAACCTAAAGTTTATAAAGTTGTGGTCAATTCTGGGAATCGCCATAGACTAAAGCCAGCTACAGTCCTTCACTGTCCTGTCAGTTCGTTGGAGAGCAAAAGTGGCCATCTAAGGTTGCAGGCTAGACTCATCACGATTGCTGGCGTGAGCTTTGTGTGAATATCTTCAGTGGATCCTTGGAAATCCAATTAGAGCAGGAGCAGAGTCCAGTGAACATCCCAACTCTTCCCTCGTCTCTTCCTTTGATAAACTGGATACTTCTCTTTTCGTCTCTTTACATAAAATAACCAATATTAATCTTCTTCAACACTAAGACTTAGCCTGAGTCCAGCAAATTCGGCCTTGATGTGTTAAGGTTTGCTCTCTTGAGAGAAAACAGCTTGTCCTGTTAACAATGGACTCTATGTGAACACCACTAGGAAAACATAAATTCCCAAGCAGCAGCAATTATGGGCCAAGCGGTTACTGATTCATCTGTACTTCTCCGCGTCTAAAAAAAGAGAAGGCGTTTGTCAGCAGTTACCTTCTCTCCATTTGCTGAGGCAGCATCTCATCATGCATGCAGAGTGTTTCATTCAGTGTAGGGAAAAACTGTGCCATCTTCTGGATGCCCGTCAGAGTGCATTTGTTTCCATAAGACGTTGACATAATGCAACGGAGACTTGCCAATGGAAAATACACAGTTCCTGGTGGTGAATTCTCCCTGCACTCCACCCTTTTATATTATGAAGACAGGGAGGTGTTGTAGGAGTGCGAGAAGCTCAGTAAAAAGTGGGAGTTTTCTACTGCAGCCACTAACAGCAACTCAAAGGTATCTTGTTACTGTGTCCACTTTAAGAGGCCCATTATCATCCTGTCTCTTTTAATAATCTTCATCCGAGCTGAAGGACATTGGTGCTTACAAGGAGTTTGCCAAGAGCAGCAATTATCCTTGGATGAAAGGTTTCTGTTGTGTTTTACATGTCAATGATTCACGTCTGACTGTTCATTAACGACCTCTCCAGTGATAACTTGATCATTTCGGTGAAGGAAAACCGCACAATTTGAGTCTTGGCTTCCGACTCCTGAGTATAAGCTAAGCTGGCATTACGATGCATGAGGTCACATGAAGAGTAACAACAGTGCTTTGTGCGGACAGGCTCCACCGTTATTCCCTGCCTTGATTATTTAAGGATCTTGGAATGCATGGGAGAGATATACTCTCACCCACACAGAAGCTCATAAGAAAAGGAAAAGAGAAACAACTTGGACAAACTCCTTGACTCTTGAAAAGCACAGAGGAAACTCTTTGACGTTGGATAACAACAAACGGTTCACGAGCTCGTGGTTATTTTAAAACAGGCTGCAAAACAGAATCACCTCTGTGAACGCAACCATGTGGAGTCAGCTTCACCTCTCACAAAGTTTTCTTTCACCAAAGTTCCATTGTTGTTGTCGCTGTTCTGCTACGGTCCAAGTATAAACTATCTGACAAAAAGTCAGAAGAAAGGAAATTGCTTATGACGTTCAAGAACACAGAGTACACTAGTGGCTGGACGATTGATGGAATACCAAATCACTGTCTAGTGTAAAGTGAAAATAACATTCCCAGTGGCAGTAAGGGTGCTAACAAAGACAAAGGCATTTGCTCCAAAATCAACCCTTTCAAACACAATTGAAAATTGCAGCTCTAAACACAGGAGAGCCAAAAACCATTTGGAGAAAAGTTTTACTTTCAGATTAGACAAAGATACTGTTGTTCCCACTGTCAAGCATAGTGGCGGTGCCATCATGCTGAGAGTCTATTTTAAATTCTCTGGATCTAGTGAATTCCAAAAAGTGGGTGGAATAATGAAGGAGGAGAGGGAGCAGGAATATCTCCAAATCTTTTAACTTCACCTGAAATCAACACTCAGACCTTTAAAACCTGGGAAAAAATGGGTGTTCAAACAGGAACTGATGTTGCACAAAGCAGATTCACATCAAATTTGAGAAGTGGCTTGGATCTTAATCCAATTAAACATTTTTGAACTATGCTTAAAAGAAATGTCTGTACCAAGAAAGAAGCAAACTTAAATGAACGCCACTAATTCTGATAGGAAAAGCATCAAAATGTTCCATAATAGTTACACAAGAATGTTTTTGATGGTTACAAAAAACAAGTTTTGTGCAGCTTTCTAGGAGACATTTGAACAAATATCAGTGGGAGGCTAAGATTTCAGCCTGTATGTATTATTTTGATCTTATTTTATTACAAAATCATACCAAGTATGTCTAGTTTCTAGTGCAAATATCTTAAAACACTTGTACCTAGTTCCATTTGTATTTTTTTTTACGTATAACATTGGGGAAACATCTTTTTGAGATTTTTTACATTTGTTTTGAGAAGGGTATTTTCTGCCGTGTTCAATCCAGGATCCAAAATAAATTCCCACTTTTGAATGCATTTTTCACTTTTCTAACTCATTGCAGCTGTATACGATATAATAGGTCCACCTTTAAAAAAAAAATATAACAGTGATATGAGCCCAGATTTGTACAACTGGATGTAACAGACGCCTGCAGTAGAAGGTGCATTATTTGCATAATGCTGTGAGCATAAAAAGCTGTTTAAAGTTTATGTTTCAATTCAAATATTTAAGTCCTAAAACAGAAAGGAGATGCTTCCTTCATTTACAACATGCCAAAAAATAAAATGACCATTTTATAGCTGTGTCTGGCTTGAAGTCAGAGAATGTGTAAAATCTGTAAATCTTTATTTGTCCTGGTGCCCAGTGCTGTAATCCTGATGTAAGCCACCCTGTCGCCTACGTCTGCTGGGCAACATCCAGAGGACCTGTCCTCGCACATGGGTTTGCTTTACATAATGACTGGAAAAGTCTCAGTTAATTCCAGACTTTTACAGTAAATATATATTTTTGTACATTTGGAAAGTTGTTGTTATATAACAGGTGCACATAAGCTCATCATTTAGGCTCTAATTATTGACTATCAATTGATTCTTCCATGAATCAACTGATACTAAAGTGGGCCGCTTCTTCTTACGAGACCACATCTACCTACTATTCCAAAAGAGACCAAATTTTATTTTATTTTATTTTAAACATACTTTTCTTTAAGCCCACAATTCTTTATAATATTTTAATTGGTCTGATATAACTGCAACTTTAAATATTGTATTTTTATTAGCTGAGCAGAAAATTAAAAGAAATAAAGGCTTAATCTATATATTGTGTTATTATTGATGAGTTACTGCAATAAATAAATGTATCAATATAATCCAATTTATTGAATAAAGCATTATAAACATAAATATCAAGCTGTAGATAGCAGTAGATAACAAAAATAAAAGTTAACTAATAGTTTACATTAAAACAGAAGGTACACCAACAAATTGCCTTAGATAATGCAACGATTTTTAAAGTTGGGCTATTTTAGAGACCAGACACAGAGTTCTGTGGATGGTTAGATGTTGAAGGTGGCATTTTGTCCTACCTGTAGTGACATCATTCAACCTCTCACTGAGGTAATAATCATCTGGGTTGAGGAAGGGGAACTGCTCGATGTACTGTTTGGGAATGAGGTAGAGGACCTCAGCTACGTGTCCATCCTCGATGATGGACATCCGCTTCACTGAGCTCTTGCGTTTCACCCGAACCCGGTTGACCCGGTGGACGCTGTGGCTGCGGCTGGAGCTGCACAGCTTTCCCAGGCTGTTGAGGTTTGGCAGAGTGGGCATGGTTACCCTGCTGTCCTTCGACTCTCCCACAGAAACACAGGTAGAAGTCAGCTGCGTCTGGACTCAGCGCTGTTCTGAAATCTGTCCCACTTCGGACATCAGGAACTTAGAGTTGTCAAAGAAAGCAAAAGATGAGGATGAGGATAAGGAGAAGATTGAAGAGCAAACTCAGCCCAGTTCATCGCTAAATCATGGGATCCATTTCACATGTGCTGCAGGTACGAGAAGAGGAGTGCTGGAGACACCAGAGAGCAAGCAGCAGGTATGAGAGCGCATCCTGCTGCAAGTGAAGCGGAGCGAGACAGAAACTTGCACTGTGAGTGTCTTCACCCCAACCAGCCTGGTGCCGTAAGCAGCTTAGGGTTGACGTTCAGCCTGATTATGTTCTGGGTGGAGTTAGGTTTGTCCATGCCAAGTTTGTTTACCCAATGATGTGTGGGAGAGTCACTACCCGAGTCCTTTATAACCCAAACATGTTTAATAAAGAGCCCTAATTTGGTCCAATCTTTCTAAACATATGTAAAAAGAATTATTTTTGCTCTATCTAAATATATATATATATTCAACCTAGATGGGCAGTACATTGTGGTAGTTGTTAATATTGTTGCCTTGCAGAAAAAAAAGATGTGGGTTCAAAACCTGACAGAATCCTTTATGTGTTAAGTGCACGGGTTCACTGCATCTATTGTGAATCAGTTAACTGGAAACTGTAAGGGTGTTTTTACATTGAGTACACTCAGGTTGACTGGGGACCAAAATTGCAACATTTGTTACATTTTCAGCTGCAGAGGTTCGCTTTCACACTGCACTGTGTAAAACAAATTAAACCCTTTGAAAAACCTGTTTGGCCCCTCACATGTGGTGGCGCTTCTCCAAGAAACACAGATGGAAACGACACAAAAACAAGAACTCAACGTCCTTCTTCACAAAATGTAAATGATGTCAGATTTTAGCAGTTGTAGGATTTCACTTTTACCACTGGTAGAAGACACGAGCCATTTCTCCCGCTAATACTAGAATCATGTGTTTGTTTGGATGAATTTTACCCAGAATGCCCTGCGTTATACTCTAGTTCCTGCTTAAACTCTACCACCAAAGTTTAT